TCCACTAGACACAGGCCTCCAACTAAACTCTATCCCATTGACCACAACTCCCTAACTTCTTCCTTTCAACCAGTTCACAATGCACCTCAGTACCCAATCATCCAGACCACACTTCCTTATTTTAGCTGCGAGGATGCTGTGGGAGATGGTGTCAAATGCTTTGCTGAAATAAACCACATCCACTGCTCTACCATCATCTATCCACCTAGTTATGTCCTCATAAAAGGCTATCAGGTTAGTTAAAAATGACCTCCCCTTGGTAAAACCATGATGACTGCTCCTAATGACCCTCTTATCCCTGATATGCCTAGAGATTGCACTGAGGATGAGTTGTTCCATCACCTTTCCAGGGATGGAGGTCAGACTGACTGGTCTATAGGTACCTGGGTTGTCCTCCTTGCCCTTTTTGAAGACTGAAGTGACATTTGCTTTCCTCCAGTCCTCAGGCACCTCTCCTGTTCCCCATGACTTATCAAAGATGATGGAGAGCGTCTTAGCAATGATTTCAGCCAGCTCCCTCAGCACCTGCAGGTGCACTCCATCATTGCTTAATTGATCCCTAACCCAGTCCTCATCAACCAAGGCAAACTCTTCCTTTATCCCGACTTCCTCTGCGGCCTCAGGAGTCCAGGGGCTCCTGAGGACAGTCTCCAGCAGTGTAGACAGAGACAAAGAGGCCATTCAGTAACTCCACCTTCTTTGTATCCTCCGTCCCATTCCGCAGTGGGCCTACATTGCCTCTAGTGTTGGCTTTGTCTGCCGTGTATTTGAAGAAGCCCTTTTTGTTGTCCTTGACCTTTCTTGCAAGGCTTAATTCCAAGGAGGCCTTAGCTTTCCTAGTTGCCTCCCTACATCCTCTGACAACAGTCTTATATTCCTCCCAAGTGACCAGCCTCTCCTTCCATGATTTGTAGACCTTCTTCTTCCACTTGAGTTTGCCCAGCAGTTCCCTGTTTAACCATGTGGGTCTCCTGGCTCCCCTTCTTGATTTCCTACCTGTTGGGATGCTCTGATTCTGAGCTTGGAAGAAGTGGTCCTTGAATGTTAACCAACTATCTTGGACCCCTTTATCATCTAGCACCCTGCCCAATGGGATTTCCCCTAGTAATTGCTTGAAAAGACCAAAGTTAGCCTTGCTGAAGTCCAGGGTTGTCCTGCTTGGTATTCTGTTCCTACCACACAAGATCCTGAACTCTACCATCTCATGGCTGCTGAAGCCAAGGCTGCCCTCAATTTTCACCACTTCAACCAGACCCTCCTTATTAGTGAGTATAAGATCCAGCAGTGCTCCTCTCCCAGTTGGCTCATCCATCATTTGCATCGAGAAGTTTTCATCAGTGCACTGGAGGAACCTCCTGGACTGTGAATGGCTGGCTGTGTAGGCATTCCAGCAACTATCTGGGTAGTTAAAATCCCCCATGAGAATCAGGGCCTGTAATAGGGAAGCTGCTGCCAGCTGTCTGTAGAAGCCCTCATCAACTTCCTTGTCCTGATCAGGTGGCCTGTAATAGACACCCACAACAGTATCACCCATACCAGCCTGCCCCTTAATTTGCACCCACAAACTCAACCCCACCCCTGGACGGAACTCAATACATTCTAATTCCTCTGGCATGTAAAGTGCAATTCCACCACCTTTCCTTGTTGACCTGTCTTTCCTAAAAAGGACATAGCCACCCATGACCACATTCCAGTCATGTGAGCTGTCCCACCATGTCTCTGTAATTGCCACCAGATCTTAACCCCTTGACCGCACACAGATTTCTAACTCCTGTATGCATTGGTGTACGGGCATTTCAGGGAGCGAGGTGGGCACAACACCGCTGTGATGGTGATCAAGTTAATTAAGATGTTGCAACGCAGGGTGGTGAAAACGTTTCAGCAAGTACTTTCATGTTGCTTTGGGCATGTACATAGATGTCAATACATGTAGATATCAATATGTGCTTGCTCAGAATATAACAGTAGTTGAATCGCCCTGTTCACCATATTATAAAGTAGGAGTTAAGTTTGTCAGATTCTGAAATGTCATGTAGAGTGACTTGATGGTGATTCTATGGCCTCATCTAAAAGCAACACAGTTCTTAATAGTATTGTAACTACTTATGCAAGAGGTGAACTGAACATAGAGATTTTGCTTCTCTGTCTGATGTGGAGACCGTATCTGAACTGTTGAATGTCACTGTTTTAGCTACAAGACCACCAGGGATGTGCCACCAGAATGAATTCCAGTGTCAATCAGATGGCAACTGTGTTCCTGCTAACTGGGAATGTGATGGTCATCTTGACTGTGCAGATGGCTCAGATGAACATCATAGATGTCCTGCCAGGACCTGTCCTCCATCTCTTTTCCGCTGTGATAATGGCAACTGTGTCTATCGAGCATGGATCTGTGATGGTGATAATGACTGCAGGGATATGAGTGATGAGAGAGATTGTCCTACTCAACCCTTCCGGTGCCCCAGCTGGCAGTGGCAATGTCCAGGTCACAGTATCTGTGTGAATCTGAGCAAAGTATGTGATAATTCTGCCGACTGTCCTAATGGAGCTGACGAATCCCCGTTGTGCAGTAAGTTCCTGTTCAAGCATCTACTGTAGCCTACTACGTCTATGGCTTCAGAAAGAAATGGAATATTCAGCATGCTGTATTTAGTGCAGCAACATTCCTAGCAGAAATCGTGAGCATGCTGAAACTGGAGCTCAAATTACTAAGTGGAACTTGTTTGCAGTGAAAGGAGACTGTGATGATGACTGATGAATTCATTAGCAATGTCCAATCTTGTGCTCTGAATTCAGATATGAATTCCAGGTTTTTATATAGCAATATGGGAGTGAGTTTTGTGTTCCTGAACACGTTTGCTGAAGCATGGTATGCTTTAAGTTCAGATGAAATGTGATTCAATCCTTAATATTTTCTTTTAAATTTCTAACTTCAAAAATCATTAAAAAAATCTAAAAGCTTACGTGTAGCCAGAATTTGTATTTATGTTGATTATGAATTGATTTAAGCATAACTTTTTTTCTTTCTTTCCTTTCTTCCTCCTCCTTCTCTTTAATCAATGCACATTCTCAGATGAACCTCAGCCAGGTATGATTATAAATGATTTTAAATTATTGTTTATGAATACAGTTTTAGGTTTGGAGCGGTACAGTAACATCTTGTATGTTTCTAGCTAGTTTTGAAAAATGTTATAAAGTCTTAGCCTTCTATTTACCATTCTTTTAATGGGATTCAGTAGTACATACTATGTTGTTATCTGCCTTTATGTGCGTTGTGTGTTATATTTTGGATGAGGGCCTCAGTCCAGTCTCGCATTGCATAACTGATGATTGTGCAGTCATGTTTTAGCAGCAGTCTTGGGCTAGTAATGCGATTGCAAAGTATTAAATTTAGCATAAGAAGCTGTTGTTAAATATTTACTTATTTCCTTCCTAAACCCCATTTCAGATCAGGAGAGCTGCTCTGACAATAATGCCGGCTGCACTCATGAGTGTATTCAAGGACCCTTTGGAGCACAGTGTACTTGTCCTATTGGATACCAGCTTGCAAATGACTCCAAGACCTGTGAAGATATTAATGAATGTGACCCTCCAGGCTTTTGTAGTCAGCATTGTTACAATGAGAGGGGATCTTTTAGGTGTTACTGTGATGAAGGATATATTCTAGAAACCAATGGGAAGACTTGTAAAGCAGCAGGTGAGGAACATTCATGTCAACCAAAAGAATCACAACAGTGTCTGGAAAATGTTCAGCTTTGCTGTTTTCATATTGTTTTTTTTTTTTGAAAGAGCTGATGTAAACAGCCACTTAGTTGTTTATGGCAGATGACCTTGGAGTATTTAAACTGTCAGCTGAGAGGTTAATTGGAAAATATTATGTTTTGAAATAATATATTTAAATTAACACTGTAATTTTTAAGCCTCGAATAGTAAAAAATAATATTCTGGAGAAAAGCAGTGCCAGGCACCTGTAAGCCATAGGTTAAAATTTGCTCTTTATAAAGTTCAGTGGTCTCAGAGTATTTAAATCCCAGCCTTTCGCAAGACTTGCCTAGTACCAATGCCATACTTTGCTAATTTCTAAATAGCAAACAACACTGACACAGCCTAGCTGTCCGTGGTTCTGCATCTCTTACATAGTACACTGGCAGTATGGGGGAACCATATACCCAGTGGAATTTGTCACCACAGGTTTCCTGGTTTAGGGCTATACTCAGGTTGTGGAAGACTCTTGCTTTTAACCTGCAAATAAGTCTGGCCCTTACTAATAGGGAGTGTCTCATAGTTTGCTGTCTTTATAGTTGCTGCTCTTCAGTTGTTTTTCAGCAGCTTATCAGTGTAAGTTTCTGCACAGCAATCTAACCACTGCAGCCTGTGGCTTTCCTGTAAGCTGTTCATTCGCCTTCCTGGTTCCCATGTGGTCTAAAGGGGGAAAAAAAAGAGCACACTGACCAAAAAGGAGGAAGGGCCAGGCTGCATAGACTAACTGGTAGTACAAAGTACTTTGGGGTTTGAATCAGGACTGGAAGCTGAGAATGGCTTATGAAGGAATGAGGGTCGGATGTCATCAGCAAACTGGTTGGACAATAGGGAAGATGACCCAAGGTCCAGATACGAGACTTGAATGGAAGTCTACTAGAAAGAGTAAATGATGGAGAAAGGGTGGAGGAAAGCCAAGGTACATCCAAAAGTCAGGATGGACAGAGTAGATATGATAAAATATCTTGGCTTGAAAATTTATTTGAATTTGTCCTTTCAATACGTATATCTACGTGCAATAGCTTTGGTGCTATAAAGCCATGCCAAATTACTATGTGTTTCTTTTTCTTACAGAACTACTGTTGAATAGCTTATTGGTTTATTTGAATTTCCTTTCCTCTGACAGAGTCTGTGAATCTTCTTTTGCTGGTGGCAAGTCGTAACCAAATCGTTGTGGACAACATCACCTCTCAGTCACACAGTATTTATTCTCTAGTTCGGGACGGGAGAAATATTGTTGCTATTGATTTTGATTCAATGACAGATCGTATCTTTTGGTCTGATACAACAGAGGATAAAATTTGGAGTGCTTATCAAAATGGGACTGACAGAAAAATAGTAAGTTTTGCTGAGTTGTTCTTGTCTCTATGGCAGAGAGAAAATTGACACTGCATCTCCAGTTAACAAAAGGGAAGAGGGATATCTGAACATAGTAAGAAGAGAGATAATGTAGACAAAGTGAAACAACTTAGTAGGTGCTAACTTCTTCAATAGACCCACTGAAGTTAGTAGGAGTGTTTGAGTATGTGGTTTGTCAGCACTTAGAATATGTGCACTGTGAGTCATTCTGCATAAGAGACCTAGAAAATATTGGAGACCTGTTTCCTCATTTTCCATGTTTATAGAAATGGAAAGGGTAAAAATTTAATACCAACTGGTTCATTCTGTCTCCCTCTCTCTCTCTCCCCCCGTCGTCCCCACCCCTTTTTTTTTTTTAAATGTTTGTTATTAAACAGGTGTTTGACAGCGGTGTCACCGTGACTGAAAGTATAGCAGTAGACTGGGTAGGTCGCAATCTTTACTGGACAGACTTTGTTCTGGAAACAATTGAAGTCTCTAAAATGGATGGGAGCCACAGGACTGTGCTGATTAGTGAAAATATAACGAACCCAAGGGGACTAGTGTTAGATCCCAGAACTGAGTAAGAGATTTTTGTATTTTGTTTTGAAAAGATACATATTTTCTGATGTAACAATATTAAAATTTGAGATACGCCCAAATTGTACTGTAATTGTAAATGACAAATGGAAGAGAAAATTTAAGACAGTTTTTTTTAAAATGGTGTGTTTGCAGAGTTGATCTAATATTTAAAGTCATATGGTAGTTATTTTTAATCTGTTGCTCTGTTTTACTGAATTATCAGTTGGTGGTATACCACAAACACACGTAATATAATGTAGAATGCCTACCTGGCAAGGAACAGGTTCCTTCATATCCCCAAGTCTAAAATAATTACCTATACCGTGTTAATGTTATCACAAAAGCACCCTCCCATTTCAGACCGCAAGTGGCATAGAGTAAATGAAATATTATAATTTGAACTGTTCATGTACAAACTTTTACTGTTTTTTGAGCTCTTCAGTGCCTTGAACTCTGTTTATTACCAGCCATATGGGGCTCTTCAGTTATAGCACTGTTAACATTATCAATGCATGCCTTTAAAAATATAAACCCATATCAAATTATTATTTAGCAACTGGAGAATCTGATTATAATCAAGATTGAAAAACAGTGATAACAGTAGCTTCTGTATGCTACTATTGTTGACAAATTAAAACAGCAGCAGAAGTATTAAAATTATTTTTACAACAGAAATTATGGTAATATCTTAAGTAAGCATATTGCTGAAATGAATAATTTCATTATCATTGTGTAGGACTTTTCTTAGAAAGGTTGTTTCTATTTTTTGACCAATGAGTCTTCGTGTAACATTTCTCAATAGGCAGATAGTTTTTTTCAGATTGGTAACCACAAGTTATTTTTTTTCAGTGCTCATATAATGTTCTGGACTGACTGGGGCCAAAACCCTCGAATTGAAAAAGCCAGCATGGATGGCAAAATGCGAACAGTGATTATTAACAATAAAATCTACTGGCCCAATGGACTCTCCATTGATTACCCCAACAAACTTCTCTATTTTGCTGATGCTTATCTTGATTATATTGATTTTTGTGATTACAATGGAAACAACAGACGACAGGTGCTTGCAAGTGATTTGGTAAGACATTAATAAGAAACCATTGTTTTCCCATGTCTTTACTGATAGAACTTAAAAAATTATTTGCATTGGCATAGACCTGCATGTATATTTCTGCAAAATACTTGAGTGAAGCTAATATGAAGTATTTTAGCTCTTGCTATAGCTGGAAAAAGAAGAATTCCATATCCTATTCACAGTCTCTCAGATCTTCAGCAGAATCTGGAGTTGAGCATAAACTTAGTCCTTTAGATCATTCTCATTTGTTCTGTCTGCATGAAGTCTAAAGGTGACGTCTGACACTGCTGCTACTGTCTGTTGCATTTTCTGTAGGCAAATACAGGACAAAAACCTGGAAGAACTTTCCCTGGTCACCTTCTGTGAGTGATGATTGCTACTGTTCACAGCAGTGAAGGGTTTTGTGCAGCCAGGACTTGCTTGTGTAGGACACTTAATGAAGACCATCACCCTTACAGGCTGTCTCTCAATGAAGGGCTACTGGCAACTTGTAGCACTGTCCTTGTACACAATAGTTCAGATGTTCAGTTGGTACACAGAAGCTGGTATAAATAACCACATGTATATTTTCATGAATTGAACCTTGGGGTTTTTGTTTTTGGCTAGTGAGACAGTTCTTGTGTAATAGAAGCTGGTTCAATCTTTCTTGCCCCACTCCTAATTTTCTGAAATTTAGGTAACTCACCTTCTTTGACCCTCTGGTAGATTATAGGAGAGCTTATCAGAGATGCAAGGTCTTCACAGGTCCATAACTCTTGCTAGACATTTCCTCTCGTGCTCTTGAAAATCTACAATTGGACCTTTATCTGTGGGTTCCCTGTGTTCTGCCTTACAGTTAGATTGCTTTGTTAATTCCTTACACTGTACATCTCACAGGGTCTGTTTAGCATTTTAATTAAAAAAAAAATAAATCTATTTCCCCCATAATTAATGTATTGTTTTCAGGCAATAGATGGTATTTTATATTCTTTTGATGAAAAATGTCTTTGGTGACACAACTTCTCTTTAAGTTATGCTCAGCTCTGTTGTTACTTCATTGCAAGCTTTATATATACAAATCTCCAGAACTAAATTGGAAAACATCCTTGCCTTTTAGATACTGCAGCATCCACACGCTCTGACTGTCTTTGAAGATTTTGTGTACTGGAGTGACCGCTATACTAATCGAGTAATTCGGGCCAATAAGTGGCATGGAGGAAACCAAACAGTTATGATTTATAACATTCACCAGCCTTTGGGGCTTGTGGCAGTCCATCCTGTAAAGCAACCTAATAGTAAGTTCAGCAAAACAACTTTGATAATTGCAAGAAGCCATGCAGTAATGGCATGCACAGGCCCTCCTGGAATCAGTCTCGTCAGTGAATGGGCAGAGTTGAAACAAGCAAATAATTCCTACTATTGACTTGTAACTGAAGGTTGTTCCAGCCTGGCCTCTAGGGAAAGTAACCTAAGCAGCGTGTAAGCATAATGACTAGTCAGAAAGAGAAACAGGGAAGTAGTATGTCCCATTTTCTTGCACTTTAATGTTTTTATAAGAAAACTGGAGCATTTTTGGAAAGCATTTTAATTTCAATTCCTTGTATGTTGATAGTATTGTTCTTTTAGACAAGATTACTGCCATCAACCTTCTCTGCAAGCACTTTTGCATTATTTTACTTAATGAAATAATAATAATAAATAAACCTCTTCATTGCATGCAAGATTCCCTCCAAGATCATATGCAGGTGATCTTTTGCAGCTGAAAGACTGTAAAAAAAACCAAACCACCAACAACAAAAAATTCCTGTTAGATAAGAGTTTTCTTCCATATCAGAGTGGGAAATATATTGACACAAATATTGTCTTTAATTTTTCTGCTATATTTCTTGTGTATTGAATGGTTTTGGTTAATAAATATTACAATGGCTTACTTTCGCTCCCCCACCCCCGAAAACTTTCATACTGGAGAGGGCAGAGACTTGCACCTGAGTAAGGCACTAGTAGTTTCAGCGCTGTATTTATTTTGGAAGAAAATCTTCCTCAATCATGTTCTAAGCTAAAGCCACTTAGCACTCTTGCTGCAAGTTGTTCAGTCACCAGAGGGTACCCTTAATTTATACATCATAGTTCTTGTCTAAGAGGTTTTATTTTACAACCCAAGGTTTAAAAAAACTTTCTGCCACTGATGGAGAAATTTGTTTATTTTTCTTCATTGTATTAAATTAGTACATTTTATGACTTTTTATTTAGAATTGTTCTATTGTAGTTTATGCAGCCAGAGAGAGAAGGGAATAAATCACTCGAAAAATAGCGAAGCATGCTAATGTTTACAAATAAAGCAACAATTATTTACTGATTGAAATTCTAGATGCAATATTAAAACTTCTATCCACGTTCCTTTTTTTGTAAATCATTAGATCTTCCACCAACTAGTTAAGATTTGTTATACTGATGAGATGAATATTTTTCTTACAGTTTGAGTACTGAATTTATGCCATTGTTTTATTGTCATCTTGTTAATTTATTTCCAGTTCTTGTTAGTTTTTATATTAGGAACAATCATGTCATTTCCTGGAACTTCAAAGATTCTTAGAATAAGGCCTGCTGTAATTGCTGAGGACATGCTCAAAATCTGATTTTTATTTTCTTATGAAGATGGTTCATCCTGAAAAATCTTCTTTAGCAGGAAGTTTGTGGAAGTGATTCAAATAATTGAATTTTAGTGGATAGTAATAACAGCGGTCAGTAGAGACCTTCTTTGTTGTCGTTTTTACATTTTACAATCTTAGACTGACAGTTTCATAGTGATCCAAGAGATTATGCATTGAACTCTCACTACTCTTGAATGAGATGTAGGCAATTATTTTATCTCTTTAGTTTCTCCAAGAAGCTTTAGTAAATTTAAATCCCCTATCTAGTCAGAGGGTTATAATAATCAAAGACTGAAAATCCTGCAGGCCTCCTGGTGCAGTTAAGAAAAGGGAGTTTGAAAGATTTTTATGTGATGCAAAAAAATTGAAAAGACCACTGTGAAAATGGTACTGGGTTTACAAGAAAAATTATATGCTATTATGAGCGTATTGTACTGCTTGTGGTTTTTGGAAATAACTCAATTTTTTTAATTTTAAGGAAATAGCAAAACTCATTTAGTGCTGGGTTGGTATTCTCAGTAGCAATGACACTGAATATTCTTTCCAGTTGCTCATACTGTTACAGTTGCTAATACTTTCTTTTTTCTTTTCAGGTATCAGTTCTTGTGCATCTTCCCCCTGTAGCCACCTCTGCTTGCTTTCTTCATCTGGACCACTTTTTTTTTCCTGTGCTTGTCCTTCAGGATGGGTGCTTTCTCCTGATAACAGGAACTGCATAAGAGGTATGGCAGTAATCATGAGAGATAAAAAAAAAAAAAAAAGACTCAACACTGTCAAATCCATCCTTCTGTCAGGCAAAAAGCATACTTCAGACCTGTGGTCTGCTGCTCATGAAATCAAAGTTGGAGCTATTCCAGGCAGATTTCATTTAGGAAGCATGGAATGTACTTGGCCTAAAGGTTGGGAGGCAGGTTCTGGAGAGAACTCAGAGATTCAGATGCTTCATTTGGGAAAAACAGATGAACTCCATTTTTTTTTTTAAGCACGTCGAAGAAGCTAAATTTAAAAATTTCTCAGTTTTAATAGGCCAGCACAACCTTCCAGCCGAAGGATTAAACTAAGCTGCTAACATTTGGTTGCCCAGTGTCTCTAAAATACAGTTATATTACTGACCTCTGTCTGCTTAGTTTGTGTATTAAATACTGCTAACTTCATGTTAATGGAAAGGCATTGATTCTGGGATTGCACTGTTTCTAGCTTTATATAAGCTGAAGAGTGCTAATATTATAAGATTGCCTTTGCACTTATTTTACTTTAAACTGCATTTCAGGTTGATATTAAAGATGGTAATGTAGCCAGCTGTCTTGGAAACAAAGCAAGGAATTTGTGTATATGAAAATCTTGTATTAATATGGTAAATTTGCATATTTAATGTAACAGTACATGAATTTTATATGGATTATCATTTGTCATGTAAACCTGTATTGTTTAAGAATTGCAGAAGTTATATTAATGTCTATCTGATGAAGCTACACAGATTTTAGACCTGTATAGCTCAGCAAATTTGCTCTAGTGTCTGTTATATGAATGAAGAATAATCAGACTATATAGATTTGCATAGGTGTTAAAAGAAGCAATCAGCAAAAACTTTTCTGTAGAATATAACTGGTTTAAATGAGACTGTCAGAATTCTAAAGTACAAACAGTCTAGCCTAGAGAATTCACATATCTATCTTTCAGCA